AGCAATAAAGTAATAATCTTGATTAAAATTATATTTTATTGATTAAGTTTAGCATTTTTCTATGAAAAAAGTATTGGACACATCTGTGTATCTTCACAGAAATAGGAACCATTTTCATAAATACTATCAATATGTATCATTTGGCATCATTAAAAATATTTGAATTTTCTTTGAAAAATTTCTTTGAAGTAAAAATATTTTTATTTCATTAGAAAGACTTTTTTTAAAAAGTACTGATAATATTAAGCAACATTTAGTCTTATGTTTTTAATGTACTTTCAAAGGCTCTATGGCAACATAATTAGAATATCTCTTCCTACTCCAAAACCTACAAATTAAGGTATCTGGAGTATTTCAAATATTAATTTAAGTATTGAGGTCTCATATTTTTTAATTTAGTGATATCCGACAGAATTATAACATACTTGTTTTCTTATTTCCCAATCTTTAAAGTTTAACATTACCCAAGATCTTAATCTCATTTATGTAATGTTCATTTACTCACACGTTCATTCATTTATTTATTATGTGTCTAACAAGTGCGCAAAGTTACAGAGAGACAGGAAAACCAGCACTGAGTTGACTTGTTTGTGGTGAGATGCTCCAAAACCTGGGGCTATCAGGGTACACTAGAGGTGCGAATTTTAAGTTAATGTGGTCTTTAAGGTGGGAGGATTTCAGTCATCTTTGTTTCTTGGCTTGTGGTGAGTGGGTTTAGGACATCCCAGACACAGTGAATAATAGATCAATCAAGGACATCAAGGTAGAAAATGGTAAGTTGTGTTTGAGTTAGCAAGATTTCCCTTAGGAAACCGAGGTGATTCTTAGGCTAATGAGAATTGTGCAGCTTACAATGTAGCTCCTCTTTAGCTACCAAGAAACTTGATACTCAAGTTATAATAATTATGTTAAAATTGAGATTGACATATATTTTACTTTTTATATTTTTAAATTCTATTTGTATTTTTTAAATCACCTCTATTATTATTATAAGCTGTCTCAAATCCTCTCTGGAATGAGTAGTGATATTAAGAAAAATATAAATATCTATTTCGTGTGAACTTTAAGATAAGAAGACATTAACTAAAGCATATGGAAAAACATGGACATTAATATTTCTTACCCATACATTTGCTTTTCACCACAGTGATTGTCCTCTGCTATTCAGAAGATTTCCAGATAGAATTGTCCTACTATATACATATTGATTTCAGAGAGGAAAGGTGAAGGAGAGAGACATAGAAACATCAATGATTATTGATCGGCCTCCTTCACGCTCCAAACTGGGGATTAAGCCTGCAACCCAGGCATATGCCTGACCGGGAATTGAACCGTGAACTATCCTATATAATAAAAATCTAATGTGCAAATTGTCCCGTTGACCAGGAGTTCAACCGGGAGTTCGACCAGGGGGCAGGGCTGGCTGTCCAACCACCTGCAGCCCTTCCCCTAGCCAGCCCTGCCCCCGATTGGCCCTGATTAGGGCAGGCTGGCCATACCTCACCCTGTGCACAAATTTGTGTACCAGGCCTCTAGTTGGTTCATAAGTTGATGCTCAACCGTTGAGCCACACTGGCTGAGCCTACTTGTTTCTTAAATGCTCTATATCTTCCCAGAGTCTTTCACTGCCTTACTTTAGACCAACTCTGATGCTCACTATGGAAGGAATATAAAACAGAGTGGGATGAGGGAAGAAATTAATTTGGAGATAAGAAT